GTAAAAGGGCTATCACATCATATAGAAATAGAAATAAACAGAGTACCAGCTCCCAACGGAGCAGAACACCGCAACCAGCTATCAAAGTATCTAAAGAAGTGATAAAAGATAATAAAGAAAAATAAAGATAACATTCTGTTGTTGTTCTGATTCTAAAAAGAAATCTTTCAAAACTTTTAACTATATTAACGACATCCATGCCAAAATTGGAAAACCACTTTTACAATATTTTAAAAAACATAATTTTTGAACCAACTAATTGAATGAACCCACTATTTGAAAAAAAATTTATATCTATTATTTATTTCGAGATAATCCAAAAATTAAAAATCGAAATAAAATAAACCATTAGCCGAGTCAGCAAAGTTTTAAAAACATTCATTCACTAATTTAACTAGGCATTTATTTGGTTAAATTTTTTAAAATTTTTAAAATTATGCTAAATATTAATCCTTATATATATATCAGGCTTAGACTGCATGAGCATCTGCTCAGCTTTAAAAATAACACAGGCTACAGTTCTTAAAAAACCCAAATTTAGAAATCTCTATGAATTATTTAAAATTGTTATTGAAGCCTAATAACATTCAAGAGAAAATTATTTAATTAAAGTGAAGCGAATCAATTGACTCAGGAATCCAGGAATCCATATATTTACCTGAACAAATAACACGATTTCGTCCGTTGTGATATTTAATTAAATTTACCTGTTTTTCTTTTTTTACATGCTTTCCTCGGTCAAAGTAGGAAAGCATGTAAAAAACAGTCAAAAATAACATTTTGCATGGAAGCATTCCGGTGGAGGTCCTTTTTAAATGACATTTTGGCAATAGCTTTTCTTTTCTGAGATCTTTAATTTTTCTATGCGATTTTATATGCAATTTTCCAGCGAATTTGGTTTTTGTAAATCTCACGCATGTACTCAAAGTTGTTACCAGTCTATAACAATATCCTCATTACATAGAATACTGAATCGATAAGATAAGGACATATTATAACACGAGTTTTAAGGAAACGCAACTGGCAGTCTATGTGGAAGTTGCCATCCTAAACTCAAATTGAAATATTACTAGTTATTAGATTGCCTTAAAATAATAAAATACTTCTACAATATAAATAATAATAGAGGATTTATTAAAAGTCTATTTATTCACTTCTTGTAAAATACAGAATTTTATAAGTATAGCCCGGATTTTGTCAAGTCCCCCCTTATACTGAAAAATAATTTTTTTGCCCAGTCTTTTTTTTGCAGTTTACCAAATTTTTCTATTAAGTATTCTACACTCTAAATCCTCCCCCACTTGAATTCGCCACTGTTTAAATATAAGAAATATAAACAAATTAAATTAAAATTAAAATTAACCATGATCTTTATTTATTTGAAATTAAAATCTATTATGTGTTTTAATAAATTTTATTTCCTTTATACTATATAGCAAGAATTATATATATCATAATTAATATGCGCAATTTTAGCCTCCACAGCTTAGTTTTGTGCCACATTCTATGAAACAAATACATTTATAATATATTCAAAATAAAACTACGGAAATTAATTAAATGCATTTATAAAAACATTAATCAATATACTAAGTTTTAATTAAAACTAAAACAAATTTTCTATGTTATAATTAAATATTTTAACAAATTAATTTAATAATTTAATAATTTAATTTATGCTACAAAAAATGCGTTGAAACGCTAAACAATTTCTTTCTAAAATCTTTAATTCTATATAATAAATTAAATTAAATTGAACTAAATACTATTATTAATAATATTGTTTATAATTGAATTATTTATTATAATTTGTTAATTAAAAAATTATTTTCAATAATAATTTAATTTAAAATAGTAGAACATATAAGCAAGTTTTTATATTAACTAAATAAGTTATATATATTAAGAGTTGATATGGTTTCGAACTACTATATTCTAGGGATTTTAAGTACTAAATTTTATATATGCTAAATAAATAGATGTATTAGCCAGTACGAGAAATAGGTATAACCATGTATATAGCTAAATTATTTGTAGTGTTTTTGTTTTTGGTTTTGGCTTTTTTTTAATTTAGACTGACTTTTACTACTATTATGGTCATTATAAATGCTATTAACAATTTTAAAATTAATGTATTTAATAATAATTATAATGAAAAGGTAAAAAAATATTAAAAAAAGTTAACAGTAAATACCAAAAATATGTTATATATGTATAGGTTAACAGTATACATCACACTGCAAAATATTATTGAAATGAAAAGAGATTTCCTTTTTATTATAAAATAAAGTGTAGCCTTAGAGAAAGTAAAGTAAGGTAGAGCCGCGTCTAACTACAAATAATAATCAAAATAGCTCTTGGAAAGAAAAAAATTTGTACAACAGCCTTTATAAGTTATAGGTCAAACGTTAGACAAAATCTGATCGAAAGACATTATACTTAAAATAACATTTGACAAAGGCTATACACTTTTTAAGGCTCACTCAAGTTTCACAAATGACATTTTAATAAAAATGTCTTCCAACTGTCTTCAAAGGTTACTTAAGTATCAGACTAAAATAACGGTTCTCTTCATCTCAAGAATAGTGTAAAAGAAAAACGGCTAAATAGACGGAGAAGAAAGAGAAAAATGTCCAAATGAACGCAAGATAACTTTACTACGCGAAAGCATCAGTACCTTCAAATTGGTCTAAATAATTGTCAGTTACCTATATAGTTATTAAATGATAATAGTAATCCGGATATTTTAAAAAATCGCTGTAGTTTGCTCCACTACTGGGAGTTCACAGGGATTCTAAGTCCATATGATTATGAGTATTATCATATTCTACTTACTTTTCTTTTACGAAATGAACCAGCAATATCATTTAACCTCCAGCAGAAACTTTAACAGAATTTTATAACAGATAAGATCGATATACATATTGTTAAAGGAATCTTCCTGCTAATTTTCAGTAAAATTAGGTAGAAACTTTAATCGCTTAGCTTATATCGAGTTGCTTATCTTTAATATAACTAAAAATATATATGTACAAATAATTTAGAGTCAGTACCCGAAAAATTGTCTCCCGGTTGAAAGAAACCCAAATTTATCTAGATATATCTAGATAAAAGGAAAAGGAAAAGATTACACCTAATATGTTACAACAATGAAAATGTACTAGAAAGAGAAAAAAAGGATTATATTTATATCACTTCTATTTAATGATTTAAAATCAATAACATTTCAGGATAAGAGATCAGGTGGAGAGCGATAAAGATAAATGAGTGTACTGCTTCTTCTCGGAGAGGTTAATACAATTTGAAAGGTTTAATATAGGTTATAGTATAATCTGAACTTATCTCTGGTCTATGGATACAGTAAAAGTTTTGATTTTTAAAACTAGATATAACTGTTTCAAAAATAGTGACTAATATCTTTTAATATCTAATATTAATATTAATATTAATGTTAATTTTTAAAAGAATCTGATTTGTAAAGGGAAAGAAAGTAAAAATTTTTGTTGATAAGTTAAAACTTTCTCTACATACATAATTCAGCAAATGATCAAACTATTATTTAGCTCCTTCCACAGCATATACTGTCTAGAAATCAGTCAAATGATTGCGTTCATAAAGTAATCATTTGATTATAGAAAACCCACTCCACTTCTCAAAATCATAAGCAACCTGTAATCCGAAATTCTTTCTAACGATTTTAGTAAGGTTGTCTTCTTTCTACTTCACCTATATCACTTTACACCTTGTGAATGGAATTTATGATAATGGTGGAATACTTTATTGGATGATATATTAAGGGAATACAAAAGGTTAATAGATTGCATAAATTAAGAAAATTGTTTGTTTCAATTACTATTGTTATCGCCCGAAATGGGTCGATGAAATTAAAAAAATGTAATTGAAAAAAAATGTATTAAAATACTATATACTTAAATACTAACTCAGACATAATGTGGCTATGATTTGTTAATTAATTTAAGGTTAAATAAGTTAAACATTTTAAAACAAAAGCATTCCACAACTAATTTATTAATTTATTTAATTTACTCTCTGTCTACTTTTAAATGCACTAAAATTCAAATAAAGCAATACTTTCTAGACTTTGCTAAATAAATTAAATAAAGTTTTTATAAAACAAAAACGAAGGAATAAAAAAGGCTATAAAAACTAAGTAGTTGTAACTATAACGACGTCTTTTAACCTTTGCTATATAAAGTACAATATACGAGTACACAAAAAAATTCAACTAATTTATATGCAAAAAAAAAAAATTAATTGTTATTCTAATAAAATTATGAAAGTATAATGACCATAATATAAATAATAATATATTTGCAGTGTTTCTTATATTTTTAGAGTTTCTTTATCTATTAAATTGAAGAGATTTTAGTTTCCTTAGTAATTATTATAACAAAAGTGATAATATATGCATAATTTTTTTCTTCTAGAGTATTAAGAATCTTATATTGCAATATATGTTATATATGTTAATGTTTTGTAAACTTAAACTTAAAAATATATACCATATATAAAAGAATTTAAGAGTGATAGAAATGAACCTCATATTGTAATATATATAACACTTATTATATATACCATATATATAAATAAACCTAATATAAATAATTATATTATTATTTTTTATTTCAGCTTGTAGTTCCGAAATATGTAATGTGGTTTCTATTGTTAACGTTATTAGAAAATTTAGATTTTATATATACTATATAACGTTTCGGAAATGCAATTACTTTTCAGTATATAAAAATATTATAATTTCAAAAATATTGTTTACAAAATATTATTTTCCGTAAGGAACAAATTGCATTATAATTATAATAAATGCAAATTTTGTAACAATTGTATATATGTGTGCATATATAAATATATATGTTTTATACGTATAATATAATTTTTATTATTATTTCTATTATAATTAATATTATTTTTAACGTACCAAGTCTTTGCAATTACTATACTCTATAATTTAATATTCTTTACTTAAGTCCTTGAAGATTGAATGTATGTTTCTAATTTATGTTTCTATCTCGAGTCAAGGGATTTTAACTAAATTCTTGTGTATTAACTTGTTTTATATTGGGTATATATTATATATAAATATTTACACGTATATAATATATGAGCATTTTATCGTAATTCTTACATGAACTACAGTTTACAGCTGTTACATAGTGAAAAACAATAATCGCACCGAAATCTATGAGTGTTTTTAAGTAATTATAGTTATTTATCTTGCAAAACTTGTGAATTTCTAAGAGCCTTATTGTATAAGCCATACCTATAATCTAAACAGTTTATTTTCCACATTCTTGAAACTACACTATATTTGTTAACATTTGTGGAAATATTTTTTTTTTGGTTGTCATTTTTGTCTTCTTTTCCAGATACTTGACATATCTCAGCAATTGTCTGCGAACACTTAAATTCATTATTGTGCCAATGCACATTATGAAGTATTACTAAAAACTTGTAACCAAGTCAAGTGTTGTCTTTAATCTTCATTAAGTCCATTAAGCTCTACACTCTGATTCTCAAGACTACGTTTCAAATCGGCGATTGTGTTCAATATTAATTGTTTTTTCACATCACTAACTTTGTCGCCGTTTTCACCATCGTGGTTCACGTCTTGACTAGAGCTTTTCGTTGATGAAAGCTTTGAGCTTGTGTGCTGCTGGCGTTCACGTCTTAAATGATTTATTTTAGCCAACAAAACTTGCTTGGGTATCTCTGTTAAGAAAACATTTATATTTACGAAATACAATAATAAATATTCGTATAAAAACTTACCAGATTCCAAGTCAAAGCTTTTCTTAATACGTTCAAATGTAGAACTGCCTTTATATACCTTCCTCTTAAGTGGTTCGCTTTGTGGACAATAGTGTGTCATATTTCCACCAACGGAATTAAAGGTCAACATACCAGACTTGTTTTCACCTACCGCATTACAGTTATTATAGTCCGACTGCTCATAGAGCAATATTTTGGCTATTTCAGGCAAGTAGTTATGATTTGCCATATCTTCCGCAGAACTTTGGTGTTGTATATTTCTATTACGTTTAGGGCTTCCATTAAGTATGGATATATTTTGTGAATGTTTAAAGCTGATATCGGCTTCAGAATCACTGTCGAATAACGCTTGTGAATTATTGTGCAACTTTGGTGATTGGCTGCGATAACGACGACGTCCTTGTGGGCTATTCACAGCTTTCCTACCACTGGAATGCAATTTTGGAGATAGTTGTGCTTTAGCGATATCTTGATTAACATTTTTCCGCAAAGGCATATCTGCAGCCACATTCTGATTAATAAAGTTAGTCAAATGTGTCTTGCGTGGACTGAGTCTCACAAATTTAGGGCTATTCGGTGCAGATGTGGTCTCATATTTAAGAAATTCTACACGCTTATTTATAGCCGCCGTTAATTCATGTTCACCAAATGCAGCATTATCTATAGATCTCTGTTGCTGCTGCTGTTGTTGTTGTTTTAATTGATCACGTTTATTTTCCACTTCACAATTTTTTAACATTTCAACTCGTTTATTTACTAAGGGATTAACACGTCTTGGACTAGCCACAGGCGTCTCACGAGGTATACTAGAATGAAATAAAAAGAAATAATGTTTTAAATAACTGCTGCAAAAGTCAAAATTAACTTCAAGTGCTTTCATTTCACATAATTTTTAGGTATATTTCAATAGATATTATCAACTGATGTTTATGTTTAATATTCAATAGATAATGTGAAAAGCCTTTTACCTCTGCACGCTACTCTTAATAGACACAAGTAGTGATTCTGCTTCTAGTATCAATTGTCGGTATTTTACATCGGCTTCCAAGTCGGCCTTTAATAATGCTTTCTCACTTTCTGCAATTGTCATAAATCGGGATTCTCGAACGTCGGTAAATACTAGAGAACTCGAACGGTTTGAAAGAGGAGAGGTTTTGTAAATTCTGTGAAGAAAAAAAATATTTTATAAATAAACTAAAATACTAAACCGGTGGACTAGTTTCATAAAAATGCTTAGCATAGTGACATCTATGAGTACCATCTGACGATAGTAAATGATGGTAAACACTTAAATAAATTACTCTAAAAATATAAGAGAACTCGCATAGCATTTCGCTGTAAAGTGGCATTTCTTAATAAAAGCATTTTATGTGCATTGGTAAAAAACAACATGTAACAAAGAGGGATTATTTGATTCACTTAAAATTGGATAAAACTGAAGCAGAACGTGTGAAATCCTAAAATACTAAACCTACACACAGGTTTTCTAATTCCATGATGATTGTAGGACTCGAGCACCGTCTGTTAAAAACATTTGCAATAAAAACAACTGCGGGCAACTCAACTCGACTTATCTATGGAAGCCATAAAGAGGAAACAAGGATACTGAAAAGTAAAGGCTACTGAATTTTAATAGAAGACGACACAAAGATTGGAAAGGGCAGTATTATAAAGACATATTGAAAATGACTCGAGTGAATCTATTAGGTATGTCAGCCATTGTAATTGGTGTTAAAATGTGAGTCAGAGTACTATATGGAAATCGACAAATGTACTAACAGAAACAAAATAAATTTAAAAAAAATAACAAAATCTTCAACTCAATTGGGCATTGATTATAGTGAATTCAGACGTTGATCTCCTCATCTAAAAAGCTATGAACTCCATGCCAAAGACAATTCGAAAAATTAAATGTAAAAATTGTTTCGAAAAATTCGTTGAATGTTTCCAGCGTTATTTTGAACAGAAAGGAAATTGTTTTGTATAACCATCCATATAATATATAAATAAGATAACACAAACCTCTTTTAAGATTAGTCTCATCAGATGTGATAGATGTATTAAGTAAGTAAGTAATTTGTATTGTGTAGTTGGTTTAATATAATAGAACTTAAAAAAAAGGTAACAGACTTCTGGGCTCGCAATGAAACATAGCATTAAGAATATAGACGATAGACGATATTGTACGAATAACTGGCTCTAACGAAAGAGAAGACCTCATTGACATCTCTCATTGATTTTTTTCCTGTTATCAGACGGGGATAAGGACTGCGAGTGCAGTATTATCCTCCTGACCAACTTCAAAATCAGTTAAACACAAAGTATTAAATTCATATTCTTATCTCTTTTTTTTTAGAAACGACATTAAGTGACCTCAGAAACATCTAGCAAGTCAGAAACATCTAGTCGCCCAAGTAAAGATAACAAGTAAAGTTTTATTTTGCACAAATCTACAGTCCAACAATTAAGTTCGATCCTTGTCATTATAAAGTGTTCACTAGTTGCCACGTCAATAATGAACTTGATATTCAACAGACTACAGAGAATAGATTTAAAGAGGAGATGAATTGCGTTATAACAAAATTAAAATTTAATATAAAACAGTTAAACAGTTAAACTCACCGTTCTCTACCAGCACTCATATTTCGTCTAAGACAAACTGGTGTACCACCTACACTACGCGACTCGCGTGGCTTTCGCACTGGCGAATTGTAGTGTTCTCGATTTTCCGTGCTCTTCTTTCTTGTTTTCAAAAAACGCTTACGCCTACGCTGCGACGCCGGTTTAGGTATATTTCCACCTGAGTTAGATGCATTAGCATCATGTGAAGACTTAAGGCTACGCGATCGTCTGCGTGTACGCACAGAAGCCCGTGCTTCAGCATATTGTTGCTGCGTTAAGCCAATAGGATTATTATTATTGTAATAATGACAACTGCCCATATTGCATTGAGAATCCTTCCTATCATTAACTTCTTGTATAGACGAAGTATCGATAAAATCAATATCGAGCAACTCATCAGTATCGCATTCATCTCCCGCATCTTGACCAGTATCCAAATCTGAGGCACAGTCTGTAGGATCTGAATCACTGCTGCATTAAAGAAATATTGTTCATTATCAATAATCAATATATGTATTTGATGTATTAGAATACAAAAAGGAACAACTGAAAATTAGAGTAGGTATCGCTCTTACCTTAAAATGTCAGTCTCTTTCTCATAAACATAACTCTCATCAAATTTTCCCATCATTTCATTAAGTGTTGCATCTTCGTCACTTATGATGGCATCAGGATATTCACGCGCACTTCCCAGCCCAGTTGCACATTGTGCATAAAGTAGATTTGCAACAGGCGTTTCTAGTGTGTGTTGCAAGTGTTCGGTACGTTTACGCCTTATGGTATTTGGTGAATTAAGTCTCTGCATGTTCTCCACTTCAGTCAAGGACGAAGAACTCTCTGACGAGTCGTAAGCTGATTTCTCATTGTGCCTGCAAATGAAAAATGTGTGAGTTGTGGAAAAAAATTTGTGAATTCGGTTTAGGGAAGCATGCATTTGTGGAGTGTCGTGCGACATAATCTGATTGTGCATTTAAGTGTTGCCGTACTTGTTGTTTCTGTCACTTGAACTTCTCGCCTCGTTGCTTGATTTAATGCCTGAGGATGAAGTGCTGGTAGCGTCAATTTCCATTTTCATTAAAGAGGAACAAACTGACTTTGAGGATGAAATTGTTGATTGCGATGTTGAAGGTGGCATGAAATGCGATTGCTGTTGTTGTTGTTGCTGTGCTGAACCAACTGTTGTCGCTGCCGATGATGATGTCTCAGTTGTCGAGTACCAAGGGTTTGTACGTATACGGCAACGCTGTCGCGGAGAGGGCGCTAAAATATATTTATTTCAAATTAATTTTCATACTCTGTTAAGGATTGAATATATTAAATTACTAAACTATAAATAGAAAATGTTGTATATTTATAATTACATACATAAGTAATAGTTAATATTATTTTATACTTGTATTGCAAAATATGACTGCTCTTGATGAGATGCTATACATATATAAATTTACTTACATTCAAATCCCTTTAGTGTAGGTAAGACTATAGTGTTATGTGCTCCTAGTGGACTCCGTCCACTACTTGTGGATCCACGATTAATGCCGATTTCATTATTGGTGGTATATATATTAGCCATGATATGACTTTGTGTGCTACTGTGATGACTAGAATAATTTGCAAACGATGTTTTTGGCTGTAAGAAAAATTATGGGACCACTAAAATATTATAATTGTCCATTTATTTAAACTAAACCTACCAATGGATCTATTGGTGACATTTCTTCTATTTTATTTAATCCAAATTTGTAACGTTGTGCTTCAATGGCTAGTGAATTGACACTCTTTGGAAAATAATGCGTACCAGTGCGCATATTGATATAATACTCTGGAGGTGTGTATATTGCACCTAAATTATAATATTAAAAATATTCTTAAAACAAGCAAAATTAAAAAATTTACCTGGAGAAGTTCCATCAGTCGAATAGCCTGTGGAATAAGCACTTTCTGGAGATGATAATATATGCATCTGTGGACCAGCAGCTTGTGGTTGTACTTGCGTTCCATTTAGTCCTTGTGTAACGTAACGGTTTGTTCTTAGTCTGGAATTTCTTGGTGGGTGTGGCATCATCATGTTTGGATTGCCTAGATTCTGATATTGATTTACTGGTCTACGTGTCGTACTTATATGATTATTATTAGATTTGATGTCAGTGTTAGAGTTACTTGCACGTAAGTGATTTGCATTGAGGCTATCAATTGAACCGCTTGTATGTTGATTTTGAATTTTTGAGGGTAACAAACGTCCATACCGTGAAGAAGCATCATCCTGTGTCTTGTAATCATAAAAATTACGTTTAGTTAGAAAAGTGCCGAGCTGCTCTGATTTGGGCCGCTCAAAATCAGCATAGTTTCTGGAATTATTATTAGTTATATGCTCTGGATGTCGTAAAATTGTACATATTTCTTCATAGTGTACTACGTCAGCCTCATTTTCTTCCAAATCTCGCAATTCGGAGCAACTTTCGTTGCGAGATTGAGTGCATGTATCGGCTGTGGAACTATTATTACGACTTTCAATATGCAGTCTTTGCTGCACTTGTTGATTATTGTTACTAACATTCATTGAAGGTTCTTTTGATCCCGTTGACCAGGATAGGGAGGAAAATGATGAGGAAGATAAATCGGGTTGTAATAATTGTTGTTGTTTTGTTGTTTTTTCTTCACATGAGTTTTCTTTGCTATTTGGTGCAGTTTGGTTTGTTCTTATTCGGTGGTGGTGATGCTGTGGCGCATAAAGGAAATTATCAGACTTTGGCGAAGTTATTGTCTCCTGATCTGGTGATTGCCATCCATAGCGACTCTAATAAATAAATAAATTGCACAAAAAGAAATATAAGCAATTATTTAATGTTCTTGATTTTGGCAAAGACCTGAATAAAAGTGAAATATATTTATTTGTCACTAAAGATATTTAGTGCCTTGCAAGTCAAACAAAGCAGACATTGAAAGGGAAAAGCGTAATTATGCACTCACTTGATTCTGAATTGGCGAGACTTCGCGACGTCTGACAGGACTCGAAATGACACTGCTGCAGCCATTGTTGTGATGATGGTTACCGTTGGGTATAGAAACTGAGCCTGGTGCTGCTGTGATTGATGTAGTCGTTGTCGTTGACATTGTGCTATTTCCATGATAAATTGTAAATCCGGTGGCGGCAGTTTTTTTGTAGACATCAAGACTGCCACTGCCCGCAGCAGCAGCAACAGAACTTGTGGTGGGAACATTGCTATTTTTAATACAAACATTTTTTTATTCTTTTTAAATTTCCTCTCTTTTGTTTAAATGGAAAAACTTACCTTTTATCGTTTTTATTTTTGTTTCCTTTTTTACGGGGACGACCAATGTGATTTTCCATCCATGTTCGTAGTTTTGACCCAAACATTATTTAAAATGTTTGTATTTTTATTTAAATTTTATTTTTAAATTAATTAATTATCTATTTGGCACCTTTAATTTTATAAATTATTATTAATTTCAATTTTATTGTATTTTTTATAATTAATCCTAAAACATATTCCTGTATTTGTGGGCTTTCCTGGACGGAATTTTTCGAACATAAAGAACTAAAAATAAATTTTTATATAAATATAAGCAAGACAAATGATTTAGTTTATTTGTTATTAAAATTTATTGTTATAATTTATGTAGATAGTTTAATAGTATTTTATAGTTGAAATATAAATATTTGAATTTTTTTTATATAACATAGGTACATATTTTTTATAACAAAAATCAAAAAGAAATCGTAACGGAACCATTATATATGTAATATCCAAAATATAATATAAAAAAATATCATTTGAGGGACTATTTATGTTTATTATTTATAAATTCATATAATTCATATCCTCTATATTATTTATACTATTTCCATATAAACATAGTTTAAATTATATTAAAAGTTATTAACATTATAAATTGAGAAAAATGAACAACACGAGCTATGAGATCTATTGCGCCATCTCACCCGTTATTTGGCCCGTTTTCTAATAATTGTCAGACATGATAATATAAAGGAGAACATTTTGATCTGTTTTCAAATATATATTAACACAACAAACCAATGGTTCCCAACATTTATTTGACTAACGACCACTATGATATTTTTGTTTTTGATAGGGACCACAAAGTTTAAGAATAATGAACTGAATGATTATTTTAATCTGCTTTATGTATGTTGTCTTTGGTATAATGTATAATAAATTTTATAAATATATGAGTATATTATAGAGGCTATGAAACAGGTATATAATAACTCGGAAATTTTTGGTTCTTATTTTCTAATGAATGAAGTCTCAGTAGACAAACTACAAGACTATTTTTAGGGACTATTTTTAAACATCTCGCAGTACACCTGTGGTCCGCGGACTATGGATTGGGAACCACTGCTATAGAGTATTATGTATAATGATATATATTTGGATTTATTTCTAAATCCATATATATGTAAGTAAAAAATTTTCATTGCTAAATAGCTTCTAAAGGAGACTTAAAACTTTACATATATATTTTATTTAGGAAAAGTTACTTGAAAAAAACTTAATATTCCTAAATTTATTTTTAGCCTGAAGCACCTATATGTTATACCTAAGCTGAAATTTAGAATATAACTGAATATTATTATATTACTACTATTATTACTTCAAACACTACTATTCGCCAGCTAGAAATTGCACAAAGCCAGGCTCTGAGAAGATTTTTCAAGGTACCATGGTACATTAAGACGAATGACAGGGACCTCAAGATTGATCTGATCAAAAAATACATAAAGAATAAAGCCCTGAAATTATTTCCAAAAACTGACAAACTTACCAACAACGCGTTATTGAATCTCAGAATGGTTACAGGCTCCTCAGTGAGGTATGCAGAGCTGAGGTCAATTATTGCTTAGTCTGATGAAGTGATAAACAATAATCCATTCAAGGCGTAAAGAGGCGTTTACTGTTAACTCTCTATTTCGAGTTAATAAAGAGAAAAAGTGTTCAAGTGCACTTGCTCAAATAGCTTCAACACAATAATTTGTACTATACTATTATTACCAATATTCTAATATTATTATGATTACTGGATTATATTACAATATTATTGTTTTAGCAATAATTGAACAATTTGTACATTTTTGTAAATTTAATATATTATTTTAAAACATACTAGCACTACTACATATATAGTATTAACTAGCATAAGTACAAGTTAAAGAAAACATAATTAAAGTATCGGCTGGACGAAAACTATTTGGCGTTTATCTTTTACTGAATTTCAAGTAATTAATAGTAAATTAAAGACGTTACTTCCGTTTCACATTTATTTTTTTGTTTAACCGATGACTGATAAGTTAATTATTTGTATATACATTATTAAGGTTCACATATTGCATTTTAATACCTTTAATAAATCGTAAAATGGGTTCCTTGAAAGAGTTATGCAAAGTAAATGGTCTTATAAAAGTAATAAAGAACTGATAGTTAAGATATAGTTAAAACAGATTTAGGCTTTACTATCAATTTAAAATTGTTAAGTTTATTTTATCTTGAGGCCGTCCTTTGTGGTAATAAAGAATCAGAACACAATGAAACAAACCAGATGAATTTAAATGATTTTTAAATTATATAATATCTCAAATTAGCTCCGATAAAATACTTTTTTCTATGAAATGTTTACGCTATAATTTGAATTTTTCCGAAGATGTTGAATTGATTTCCTTTATAATTATGATATGAGATCTCTATATATAACTGTCGAACATAGACTGCAACATTTCGCTAAATATTTAGAGACGCCAATAATTTTGTAATTATAAAATAAACATTTGATTTTCATAATTTAAGTCAATTTAATTAAAGTCAAATTACAAAAGCTGAGCAAAAAGGTGAAGATACTTAGGGTCTTTCCACTTATTTGGCATAAATGGAGAATACGATTCCTTGGTTGAAGAAATACACAAAATTATTGTAGGATAAAAAGTGGCAAGAAAGAAAAATATAAGAAATTAAAGTGAAAGACCACAAGTAGTAAGATATATAAACTATATTACAACCGGAGTATTAATGCCGTAGCAATCACGAGTGCACACATAGAAAATAATAGTTATATTGCTCCCGAAAAACAATTCAATTACCAAATAGTACTAGCACTTCCAAAAGAATTTCCTCAAAATGATTTTTTGAAGATGATTTGATTTTTGAAAACTGTTCTATGAAAGAAAAAATTAATTGAACCGGGCATAAGGTAGATTACTTTACCGATCTAAAAACTTTTTTATAAATATTGTTTTAATTTTATTCAGCTAAACTATATCATTTTAAAATCAAATATTTTAAACAATCTCTATTACAAATATCAACAATTTCTCGGAAACATTTTAAAATAAAATATAAAAAGTGTGTGAATTCTTAACAATCCAGATTATAAATATTAATCATTTCTCAGAAATATCACTATTATGTCTAAAATTATAGGGAAACTGAAACAACTGTGGCTGATATCTAATGTCTCTATTATAGCTTTTTTTTAATATTTATTTGTTCAAAAGTTGTGTGTTTCTACAACAATACTAGCATTATACTATGAGAGAATGATATATAAAAGTTAATATAATTCAATTAATTCTTTGCCATCTGTTTTGATTCCGACAACATTATTGAATTTAAAAAACTGCACAGTTGGTATTATATACTGCCAACAGAACAAAAAATTACAATGCACTTACTTCCCAGTGGAACCGTGTACTACGATCATAGTAAATCAATTATAGTACTACATCTAATCTTATCGAGAATATCAATTAAATTTTGAATATTCAAAATATATATACTCTTTATACAGTTCCTTTATGAAGTACTGACTCTAAGCCTGACTCATTATTTATTTTCTTTACTTTCATAATTTTCCTATAATAGAAAATGATTTATACTTAATACTCTCTACAATACATAAGAGAAAGAAATTGAGAAGTCTATTTAAAGAAAATTATTAATCATTACCACTATTTGCTAAGAAGAAAGAGAAGCTGACACAAACCTCTAGGGGACTAAATCTAAATGAACCTTTAATACACTTTAAAAGTGTATATATTTAAAAATATTTAGACGCGTATCTCAGGTAAAAATTTTGAAATTGTTTTCCTAGGATATATGAACCAATGGGGATATATGAACCAGGCATACATGAAAGAGACTTTATTTTTTATAAAACTTAAATCACGCATATATGAAACCTTCTATGAGCATTTCATTCCCTAGGTTTATCCACAATTGTTTCACTTAATGCCAAGAAATACATTTTATATAAGTAATTTGTTATTCAAATTAATTTTCAAATCTATAATTAAAATTTAGAAGTCGGTTCTGAAACTAAAAACTGCTAAAGTCAAACACAATTCTAAATTTATTTCTTTATATATTAATTAACTTCTCCGAAATCAGAAGAAGAACAAGAAACTTGTAATGTTGATATTTTCTTTCCGAGAGTGTCGCGTCTTATGACGAAAAGAAACTATTTAAAAGTTAAAAAGGTTCGAATAGAAATGAAAAGACAACAACAAAAATTTCGTTGTTATTATTATTATTATGCTATTCAAACGACCATGTATTCGTCTAGAAAAACATTTATGCCCTGCTTATCACCTAATTAAGTGATAATCACCTCACTATATATACAATTTTCACAGACTAAGTTTCTCACAGATATTTTATTAAAACTATTTTGGAAAACATAGTTGATACCTTAATATTTTATACTAATTATGTGCTGGTTTAGTACACAATTGTTTTCAGGAACTAATTAGGGTTACATACTAAATATTCGTTCGAAATTTTTAATCTACTCCAATTAGAGTCTAACAACTAATATAAACACTATAAATCCACACATGTATATAGATACTTGACAACTTTTGTAAATATTTTCAGTCAATACATAAAGAATATTTCAGTCTCAGTTTGCTTAAAAAGTATTTGTTTCAGTAAAACGTTTTATATTCAATGCAAATTGAAACAATTGCTGACCTAGTTCAGTTGAAAACAATTGAATTGAGTTTGCATATATCATTTCAATTGTCTCATAGCAAACGGATATAAACGTAACATTCAGATGGACGGGGGAAGGGAATAAAAAAGCGTAACTTTTCGATTTCCTTGCCTTATTTAAAATGCACATACCCAAAGAGTTGCTTTTATTAACTTGTCATGACGTTGATTCAATAAAACGTTTCCACAAAGTTGGTAAAAGTTTCTGCCGCACTTAGGTTGATGAACCATTTCCAGAGTGTTGAAAGTGTTCAGTGCACAGATCTGAATTTTAAATAAGATTTTGTTTTATTGCAAATCAAATTGTGGCAAATAAGCACCTTTTTCACTTTATTTTTAAATAAGATACTCGACAGCAACATAAAATTTAACGAACTTAATAAAAATCAGTAGAAATCAATAAAAAAGAAATTTAATCCTTAAAAGAATTTTTGCATACTCATTCTAACATTCCAACATTCGAACATTCGACGCAAATCATGTGGATGGCACGTACACATCACCTCCCATGAACTGCCAGCATGTGATTGCATTTA